TGACACTTGTTCCTTAAAATTCTGAGGACTTCATCTTAAAGTATTGTGGGACATCACACTATTAGAGAATTAGAGTAATCACTAACCTCTGCAGGGCAGAGGGATGTAAGGGTGATGTGGGTGGACTCCCCACCTAGTACTGTAAGGGACATTCCTTTTTTCCTCTGTACCTCAAGAATGTCACATCTGAGAATCTGCATACCCTCTCTTTCAGTCCCCAAACTACTCTGCAACTTGATGCTAAATAGTGCTGCACACCTTTTGAGGTGATGTGTACAGCTTAATGAAACTGCTTCTAATCAGCATCTGCGTGCAAAACCTTGACAAGAGATTCCTAAATCAGATATTAAGTTCAAATTATAGTAATCAGCAACTTGGACCAAAAATTGTGTTCTGAATCCAGACTTTTAAACAGACATGTCTACTTACTGGCACATATTTTATACCTGTCTTCATGCCTGCTAAAGTAACCCACATTATTTTGAAACCTTGCCCCTAGGGAAATGTTTCCAAGGATGAGCTATTAGTTATACCAACAGAGTAGAGGCTTTGTTTACATCTTTGAGCCTGGAACATGCATAGGAAATTCAACAATGCTGTCTAAAATAACGAAGAGCTCTGATCAAGTAAACAGGAGCAGTTCTCCATGGTCAAAGGCTCAATTAGCAGAGGCTGGAAATAAAGTAATTGAAAGAGCCAAAAGTGACACATCCCCCTAACTTTGTACTCACTTTAAAATAATACCAATTGTCTCTAAGGTTTTGGAGTAGATCTGTAGCATGGGTTGTGGGTGTTGAGATTGGTTGGCTCGCCGAGTTGGTTTGTTGTTCTGCAGACGTTTCGTTACCGTGCTTGGTAACTTCATCAGAGGCTGCACTGAGGAAGTTACCAAGCACGGTAACGAAACGTCTGCAGAACAACAAACCAGCTCGGCGAGCCAACCAACCTTAATACCAATTGAATTGATGCTCCAACAATATCATCTGTGACTCTTATTACAGTATATCTGTCATGTGTCTGTCTCTTTGGGAAATTTTGCACTATTCTATTTAATTTTAACTGTTGTCAGGCTTTTTACACAGTTGAAGTTTATGAATGACAGATGATGAGGCAACTTAATTTTCTAATGCCTTCATATGATTCTATTTCAAATGAATGATAGTGGAAATATCACCAGAACACCAGTCACACGACTCTTTTCTACAGTTGTTCTTCAGTAGGACACTTATTTTATAAATGATTCTCATACTTGGTGTAAAAGTTGATTGTTGGAGTAAGAATCTGCTATAAGCTGAGTAGTACAGTGACTGACTAAATATTTTTGAAAAATAAAGCCCAGTAGTAATGAATAAACTGCTATTTTAAACTCAGATTTAGATGAGAGATTCCCCCATGGCAAACAGTCAGAACAAAGGCAATATTCCACTGAATGGAGAGTAAAATATCACAGGTGAGGAGGGTAAAATAAGCAATATGCTTTCCAAATGGTTTTGAACTAGCCAGTTACACCTTTAATACAATTGAAACTTTACACAACAGTAACTACAAAGCTAAAACAGTAGAATAAAATACAAAAACAAGGAATGCTGTAAACACCACCACCCCCACCCTCTCTCAATATCTATGCAAAGAACAAATAAATTAACCTTTTTGGGTGTGGATATCCTCTCACCTAGCTAACTCCTTTATTGTCTCCACAGCTGAATAACCTGCAGATGGTTTTCAGAATTATCTGCTTTAACAGCAGAATACAAATCACAGGATGCTGTAATCAAAGTGTGCACTGCTCTGGTCACCAAGAAACAAGTGAAGCATTCATGTGCTGGAGACAGGAGCTTTAATTCACAATGCTACTTCAAATTTGACACCAGACAAAATGGCACAGGTTCAGTATAAAGTGTAACCATAGGGCTAACATTGTAAAGTCCATCATGCAGAGATTAAGCACCAAAAGGAAATTCTTGGGAAGATGGTAGAGTTAACAATTTCGGAAGCAAAGGTACAGTAGGCGTGTTTAAAAGGACTGTCGAAGGATGAACAAATAA